AAGTGAAAAAGCTTCGAGAGCAATCAGTGCCCAGTGACACAAACTGCAAATTTCCAAGTAGGAGTCACAGATCTATGCAACACTTCTTGCAATATCCCCCTTTCTACAGCAGGATGTAAGAAAGTCCTTTGTTCCTTATTGGTCCTCCACCTTTGAAACACACTATCTATCTAGTAACAGTGACTCTTTCGGACATAGCATATAGTAAGAATAATACAACTAGATAAGCCTGTAATAGTTAAAAATAACAACCATGGCTTAAGAAGTATTAAACATGAGCTTAGGGTTAATCTCTGGCAGGACACTTACATAAATGCAGCTGATTTTAAAATTGTTTCTTCCCAAGCCAGGAAAAAGGAGTTCTAACCAATGAAGTACATGTGGGAAAACAAAGAAGAGTTTAAATACTAATGAAAATCATGTATCGTATATGTACACCAGAAAGTGGATAAGACATTACAGTTTGAAGAAAATGTTCATGTTAAGTAAGCTTGCTACTTTTAGTAAGGCCTAAGGAAGTATGTCCCATAACGACACGCTGCTTGAAAGCTTCTGTCTCCTTCAGATAGCATTCTTCAGTGCAGCTTCCAATTATGTTCAATATTTCTCATTAGAACTCCTCTTACCCTGGCTGAGTAATTGCTTTTTTACTATTGATTATTTCTTATGGTGTTTCTAACTAATTCAGAGGGGATGTAAAATTTCAACATATCAAAACCCATTAGATATTCCTATAAAGAACGGAGAATTGACTTGATACACTTTAATTACGCCCTGCAGCTCTGAATATGGGCTGAAAATTTGAGACAGAGCTATTGAGTGAAGGGCAGGGAACACGCTATAGTTAGCTTATAACCTTATAACTGTTTTTGGAAACTGAAGCAGTTTTGTTGCTGAATTTTATTGAAACAGTGAAAAAAAAAAAAAAAAGTTGTGTTGTAGCGATTTGTGTTCCAGAGGTGGGCTTCTCACCCTCAGCACTATTGAAAACCCTCTACAAATGTCAAACCTGGCATTTACTCAGAGGTGTTATTCTACTGATTTTAATGGACTTTTCCTAAAACTACCCAGCTAGAAGTGAAAGGAGAAAGGTGAACATCCTCAATTTTTCACTGCAGCATCCAGTTTCTGCCAAGCTAATAATATGCTTTTGTACAATCTAAGTGTCTTGGGCTTTTTTGGTTTGTTGGTATGTTTGTTTTAAGATGCAGAAGAACAGGAGTGAGCCAGAAAAGAAATTAAAAACAACAAATAATAAAACTCTGCCTGTGCTGTTCTTGGTTTTCCCCACACTGTTAACTTGAAGCCCCTCTGGGGAAGGTGAAACAAACAGCTGTCCTGGCTACAATACAATCACAGAATCTCCTCCTACAAAGCCAACTGCAAGCATGGAGAGACTGAGAATCTATTAGAAATACCCTGGGCTGGCAGCACTGTGAATTTAAACGGACAAACTTCAGGGGCCATTTCGCCGCAGTTACAGATCTCTTCAGTAACTGACCTCTCCGTAGCTGTGAATTTTAAAATAAAGCGCTATAGGCTATGAACAATCAAAGTAGGAAACAAGGGCACCTTTTATTCACCTGTAATTCACGTCATTCTCTCTGAAAACTGGTGGTAAGCTGCACCCTCAGTGAAGTTTGGCCGTATAAGTCAAGGTATGATGCAATAAACAGCGTGACAAGAGTACAAACTCTGTGATGTTCCAAATGTGAAGACCCTACTGCAATCATTGGCTGTCTTAACACAAACATACATAAATCTGTTCACTCTTTGCACATCCAGTTTGCTCAGAAGTTGCTTTATGTGCCATACAACCACTTTCATATGGATACAAACCTCATAAAGAAGTCAGGCTTCATGCAGCAGAATCTTCTATTTAATAAAGTGCTATTTTTCATACATACCTACAGACGCTGGCATTTCTCCCCACTGCAAAACAGTCTCCTTTGTGAAATGCCCGTATATATCAATGTAGATGCCTTCATCTTCATAGGTGAGTAAAAGCTCCATTCCGCTGGTATTCGGGAGGATGATAATGGCATGTGGGCGAATTGTCCCCTGGATCTAGAATCATATTTTACTACGATTTATATCAGAAAATGGTCTGCAATTTTAGCGACTACATCTAGCTAGCTTGGCAGAGCAATAAAAAGAACCAGCTCATGGCTCATGGAAAGTGAAAGAAATGCCTGTTTTCAGCAAGGCTGCACAGTTTGCTAGCTGGCCTCCGAAACAGGCTTTCTCCCCTCCTCCCCCCTTGGAATATGACAGTAGGTTTGCAAACAATTCAACGTTCCGTATTTCACTTTATATCTACCAGTATTAATTGGTTTCAAGAAGCCATGGAGCCACTGAGACACAATAATATTTACTTACTCACTCACAAAACACTTGCAGTATATCAATAGAAGAAAGGTGAAATAAATTTGAATTCAGAATTATTTCAGAAGATGGAGGAAGGACAAAAGCTTCCACATTCCAGGAAATCAGTGCTTTCACTTTCCATGATATTTCCCTATCCCCACTCACAAGCTAAACCTGTGAATTTAACAATATTTACAGCAAGCTGAAAAGTTACCTGGACCTTTCAAATACAAGCCACTCAATCCTTCCCTTCCCACATCCTTCACTAAGACCAGTTGCCCATTGAAATGCTGCGCAGCATATGTTTTCTGCATGCCCCAGAAACAGTGCATTTCACTCACACAAATTATTTTAACAGCTGTTCAATGCACTAGAATCTCTCCCAGAAGCCAACATGTCCCAAGTGGAAAAAAAAAAACCAAAAACCAAAAACCCTAAGTATATAACCATGAAGGTGGAGTTCTATGAAAGCGTTTTTGAAAGAAAAAGAGGACAGCCTTAAAAAACAATAACAAAGCATTTCCTTGTTTAAAGCGCTACTCAAAACAAGATGTTAAATAGTAAATTAAACCACCACAATTAATATTTTTATAGGAAGCATATGACTGGAGTTTCTACACATTTTCACAAGCCAGCAACACACAGCTCTTTCTTTCTTCAAGCACATAAATGTATGCACACCGTAAGGGCACAACGAACAGTAAAAGAAGCACTGAAGCTGTACTTGCCAAACTGAATACACTCAGGCCAACCACTTGACTCCGTGCCTCCGCAACAACTATCCGTAACACTAGAACGGGTATCCAGAGTCGCAGAGCAATTTTAATGCGTTGCCTTGGTACTCGCATGAGCGATCGAAGCAGGTAAGAGATGAAGAAAGAGGTGGGGAACCAGGAAAAGAGGCTACCAGAAAGCAAGAGTATCTACAGTCAGCCTGTTAAAAGTCTGGTCTGTTGCCACCACAAAGCTCCCCGAGAGAATTATCCAATTCTAGCAGATCCTCTTTAAAATAATAAAATACCAAAAAAGATAGAGCTACTGTAGCAGCAGATTTATTTCAGGTCTAAGACTCTAAAGGGAAAAATATATTTTTAGTACATGCTAACTTTTGGTTGAAGAGTCAGTCTTAAAGGTGCCCCACATATTCAGGACAGTCACCTGGGAAATCTCTCTCATCAGGTAAGTAATTATTTTTGCAGCCTGTTGAAAAAACTAAAGCCTCTAAGAAGGTTCACTTTTTTCTTTGCCTTTTTTATCTTGGGCAACTATGCTAATGATCTTCTTGACAAGTCATTATTCACCTTGCTTAGCAACCAGCTTCCAAGGATGGCACCATGCTTAGATTTATAAATGGACGTGAATTTTTCATAGTTTCCTAATTAACAAAGCTACTAATTGTAAGATTAAATAAACCCTCTAACAAAACAAATATTAAGTCCCTTAAAAAAACCAACACCCAACACAGAAATAAACAGTACAAGCTTTTAGTGGGTGATTGAACAGTTTGCTCTGAACAGCTAGAAAAGTTAGTTTAATTAAGTTTATAAACTTAACAGCCATCCTCAAACTTTGCATCCATCAGAAACATAGGTCTGACAGAATTTGAAGGCTGTCGCTTGTCAGGGCAGCAGAGTGATCAAGTGGCTTGCACGGGCAGCGTGGGTTTTCTTTTGGTTTGAAAATGTGGGGCTGAGAGTGGAGAGAATGAAATTAAAAAATAAGAGTTCAAGGCACAGGCTGCAACATGCAGATCTAGGGTGAGATTTCTCCAGCCCTCCTGAGCGTAAACTTGGGACACATTGCCTGGGGATACTGGAGGCCACGGCACCAGGACGAGCTAACCCTCTGCCCCTCTGGGGCTCTGTTGACTTCAGGGAGGTTTTCAAGAGCACACACAAGTTTCCCTGCCAGGAGCGTCCCGTCAGACTGGAGCCGTGGGAACCTGCTAGTTTTCTGGACCTAAGCCCCCAAATTTCTCTGGCTTTTGGGACTCCGAGCTTTGAAAAGAACTATCTAGAACATTTAAAAAATAAGCAGACCAAAAAAAAAGATTAAAACCCAAGCACAGACTTCATATTGGACAGCCCTATGCCAGCCATTCACTTCTGCAGGGGAACTACTTTGCTGTTATCTGAGTTTCAGCCAGAATTTAGTGATCACCCGTCACCTCGATGAACAGATGCACAATGCAACATGTACATGTCAACCTGAAATCAACTTCTTCATGCCAACTGCTTGACAATCTAATGAGAAAATCCCGAGGAAAATGTAAACATTCTTTTGAATTTAAGGACTGATTTCACAGGCAACTGAATGGCAAGAAGATCAGCAAATTTATCTAGTCTGGAAGTTGGCTTTCTGCAAAATCATGACTGAAAGGCAAATCGCATTTTGCACACAAAGCCTGGATCTGTAATCGTGTAAAACAAATGCAACTTTGCTCCACGGTGAGGAAATTGGGATTATGGGTGCACATGTATACCTGGCTCCTCCAGCTACAGGTACTCATTCGTGCAAGGCTAACAGGCTTGAACGGATCAAGATTAAAATAGGTTGCAACAGTCTTTGTAATCCAGGCCAAATTTCAGGTTAAATCAGTGATAATTTAGTTAGTTTGTTAGCAAGATTGAAAAGCACAGTGGCAGATTGTAGAAGTCATCTAAATTAATGTAGATATTATTGTGTCTTTGTTTAAGAAGTCCTAAATTTCCAGGATAAATCAATTAAAAATAGTATTGTCCATACAACAGGCTTTCTGACATTAAGCCATTAAAATTGATACTCTAAATGTGATAAAAGCCTTTTAACAGAACTTCAGTGTTATAAGCACGTGAAAAGTGGTTTTCTATTAGCTGGCAACCAATAATTATTCTCTTATCCTGTCTTCTGAAATACAACAAAACTCTTAACCTGATCATCATCAATATACAGCCCAAAGAACTGAGGCATTTATGTAATTTTTTGGAGTGTCTTACGTGTGTTGGAAGGTACAGGTCATACACAGATCCAGAGTCCACATCAATAGCGTGAAAGCCTACTAGTGAGCCATATATGACTTTTAATCTTTGTCCATTTTCAATGGTCAGGTCAACCGACAGTGGTTTGTGATGAAGAGAGGTAAAGGACTGGAAAAAGAAAAATACGCTATGTAACACAATAAAGCCGTTGGTTTACAGATCTACATATACGATCTTAAGAATTTTCAAAACTCAAAAGTTAGACGGCTGTTTTTGTTAAACAGCACGTTACACGTAAGGAGCCAAGTATCCACCGTCCACTGCACTGCGAGGAGAGCTGGATAGTTCACTTGTGTTTTGAAAAAAATTTAGATTCTAGAAACGGACTAGGCAAATTTAGGCTGAGTACCATTCATGTTCAACTTCCTTCTCTTTTGAGGGAAATCAGCATCAACTTTGTGAACTCAAATGTACATTTTGGCACAGCACTGAAACAAGTTATTCACATCTAACAGAATCATGACTGTGACAGTTTTATGCCTGCCATCTCCAATGTATGTCAAATGAGCTATGCTTTCTTTAAAAGAATACTCATTTTATCTTTAACTAGAAATAAATGTTATACAAAGCAACAAAAAGCAAAAGTGAAGAGTAGACGAGAAACAGTGATACATCTGAACCAAAGTGAAGTTCCACTTACCTTAAAAGCCATGAATTTGTGATAAGGCTTTGGAGCCCACGCATAAACCTCCACTGAGTTTTTCAAAGCAATTACAAGGAATTTGATTCTCTCATATTTTACTGTAATACAAGAATAACAATTCCTTAGGTACCAGACAAACACTTAAATCAAAGACCATCTCATCACATGAAATAATTTCAATGGACTACTTGTAGAAATAGACATTATCCAGCAAGGGAGACTAATAGATTCTGGACATCACTGTTTAATATCACCAGTGACAAAACCTTGACTGAAAACCTATAGTTCATTTACTCTCGGTAAGGCCAGATGACTGTTAACAACATTTATATATTGCTTTTCATATATCTATTAAAAAAAATAATCTTACTAGTCAGGAAAAAAGGTCTTGACCCTGCAGCTAAGCCAACCTACTTTATTTTTTAAGTGTGAACATGCACCAACATTGCAGGTGGTGAATAAGCTACTTTTGGAGAAATGGTGGTTGTTGGCTGAACAATTCTGTACCACTCTGCAGGATGAATTTTCATTTCACTGCTCATGTGTAGAGTTAAATCCCCATGTGCTAGTGTGGGCGAAGGAATCCCATGTTTCTGAGATGAGTAAGCATTTAAGAGATGAGCAATTTCTCTAAGTTGATTAAGGTCATGTTGAGCCCATCAAGAATAAATGAAGACTCATGCATTGAAAATTAAGGCTTCTTTGTACGTCGTGTTTTCACTCTGCCAGAGACAAGCATTTGCTTTGGAAACAGAACGCTAGGGCATGGCATCCCAACACATTCACCCTTCATTTTACATTTTATATTTGTGCTTGGCAGGGATTTTTAAAAGATGCAGGTGTTACACTACTGAAGTAAGATTTGTTTTCTGTGGGAGGAGAGCTTCATCAGCCCTTGCTGCTTACAAAAGGAGCAGTTCACACTGGCCAAACATATAGCAGAGGCATGGAGGGTGGATAAGGATGGACACTGGTTAGGGAAAATCTCACATAGGCAGAGAAAGGAAAAAACACAAAAACCCAAACCAAAAAAAACGAACAAACTCCACCAAAATGCAGAACAGCGCATCCTCTTCCTCTTCTATCTGGGCAAATGGCTGTAAAACCAAAGGCCAAGATACAAGAAGATTCAAACAACAGCAGCTGTTTTGTCAAAGAAGTAAGAGTGGCTCGTCATTATGTAAACACAAAAGCTCTGACCAAAAGTTTGCCTAATTTTAGGATAACTATTTTATTTTTTAAAAAAAACCAAAACAAACCACACCAAACCCAAAGATGAGCAACTGAAGTGGAATACGTGGGTGCTTAGCTATAACACAAAGAAAGTAGCGACACACATCAGTTTCACATTCTGTCTTGGATTTACCCCTTGCCACTTTTAAAGCCATGAGATATAAAAGCAAAAAAAAAGTCAAGCAAGGTATTTATGAGAGCCAGCCACCTCGCCAGCTCCTGCATTCCTTGACATCATTTCTCTATCTGACTTTGAAAAAAGTGCAACTTTCATCTACCATCTTTCACCAAAGCAAAACTTGCGCTATACATCATCACACCCCTTCACGCAGTTAAATGACAGGAACTATCACAATACTGATGTTCAAGAACAAACTGCCTGAAAGCCAAATAAAAGCAAGATGGTTTTTCAACTGCGACGGTACCATTTCCAGTGTGTAAGTTTAAACAAAGGTATATTCAGGGTTTTTTATGATCTAGAGACAGGGATGAGCTGTAGCACATCCAATCTGATCTACCTATGGACATCCTACAAATATGATTTACTAGCACTTTACTAGTCCAGTTTCTTAGCAGTTACTCAGGGCCAGGAGGGAAGCTGAATAGCATAGAGGTGGAAAACATCTGTCTAATTAAAACTTTAATTAAACCGCTGACTGAGCAATGGACCAGGGCTGGCACTCCTTTCCTCAGCTGTCACAGGGAATACTTGTAACAACATCCAGTGACTGCTGCAAGAAGAGATGCTTCCTGGAATGACAGGCAGCAAAGCATCTGCCATGTAAAACAAGGAGATTTGAAAGAAATCAGAGATATTCGGGCCAATACAACACTGAAACAGAGCTGAAGAAAAATGCCGATGTCATGAGATACAACAGGATGATTAAGCAGCTCTTCAAGGAAAACACAAAAAGCCCTTACCGACTTTGTAGTGTACACAGCCTTCCAGGTCACCCACAGACACCCAGCCTTGCCGCTTCTCCACCTCTGGATCATTGCGCAAAATTTTATTTCTCAGCCATGATAAGTAATATACCCTCAACTTATTCTTCTTCCCTAGGATTTGGAAATAAAAGAGACATAATGCTTTAACTCACTGAAGTACAAACTTTCCCACACTTTGAAAAAGCCAGAGTTTTGTGACCTTGAGTACAGCGGGTTTTTGTGCCTCGTCAAGGTGAGAGAAGAGTCCAGCAGCACAAAAGAAAAGCCCTGTGTGATGGCGACGCGCAGGAGGGAACTGGAAGATGAGCCATCCTGTGGCAGTAGGCACATGTGCACTTACCTTGGGACTCAAGCCTGATGCAAGATTTTCACACCTGACTGAAATTCTTCCCTCAGGCCAAAGAACAGGTCTCTATAGACACGTGTATCATCAGAAATAATCACGCTATCTGGCATTTACTCCTTGATGTGAAGGAAGGAACACAGGTATGGCCTACAATGGCCATTTTGAGTGACTGATTTGGTTCTAATTAACTGACAATCTTCATTACAAGTAGCTATTTTCTTTTGGATGCCTTTCCAGGTGAGAATTACTTTATCATCTTTCATGTCAGTCAGTCTTTCTGTTGCTTTAGTGTGTAAGAACATCTGGTCAACAGCAGTCTGGGATCACAGCTTAGTCTACAAGAGCAGAACTGTGCCACACAAACAACTGGACCTGGAAATACGGTACAAACAGCTCTCACCATCACCTATGGTGAGTCTGGATAGGACACGAGAAGCTGCCATTCCTTGCTGGACCTACATCTCTGACCTCGTCATGTTCTAAGTATCCTTTGAGGCCACTCTCATCCACGGGAAATAAGGGCCTCAGTACCTTGCAGTCCAAGCTGTTTGTCAGCAGAGGTTGAAGATGCTACTCCATTTAATGTTACTGATGCTGTCATGGTACGGCTCATACATCTTGTTGAACACAGAATGAGGTTATTTAATGATATTTTAATAGAATTGCACTTAGATGCTCACCCATCACAGAAACAAGCCAACAGACTGACAAACTATAACTTGCCGAGAATCAGTTCATTTTAAGGATATGAAACACTTCATACTTCCCACAAACCATTTTACATATTAACCAGGTAATGAAATATCCGAAAGCCTCTCTGAAATTAGAATGTAAATGTTAAAAATTCAAGAGAGTTTTCCTATTAAAAAGAATAACTGTCCTGTGATTTTCTGTAAGAGGAAATTCCTCAACCTAGTTTATAACCTAATTCTTCTTTTTAATTGCTTCCAACCCCAATGAAGGTCAGATACTTTTAGACACTGAACTAACCTGATATAGTAATTAGCACATTGAGTCCTTCCAGAACATCCATTTGCTGGAATCGTCTCCTTGTAATCAGTGAATAAACTCTTCCTTGACCACTTCTGTCCAGCAGCCACAATCCATTCTCTGTTCCCACCAGTAAATTTACTCCTGTAGATACACGGAAAAAAATACCGCATAAATCACCTAATGATTCAGAGGGCACCAAATGTTCATTGTTTTGAGAATGGATTCTTAGTTAGTCTCACTTAATGGTACCTGATAATTTCTCTGTTCCTCTGTGGACGACCTTACAGAAGAATTAATAGAAAAAAAAAAAACGATCTCACGATTACAGTTCTTATCCAGCAGAACACTTACATGCCCATGTAACTTGAAGGATGAGTAGTTCCGCTGAAGTCAATGTTGATTTAAACAAAAAGGAAAATGCTTTGCAAACTCGAACTTCTCAGGTGACCTTGGCAAGTGCCTGTGAGCACTGCTAAAGTCCCAGTCCAGCATCATGCCACTGGCAACACAGGAGATCCAATTAAATGATCTAAGGGTCTCCATCAATTAAAAAAACCAAACCAAACAAAAAAAAAAATCCCTCTTTCCCCAAATACAACACTCAAATCACAGGAGGACCAAACTCGTGCGAACAAGGGCTGCTGTTACAAGGAAGTGGAGTGTTTGTTTGAAAACGGTCTGTGTTTTGCAAGAATGCTTTCAAATGCCCATTTAAAGGAGTGAATCCATCTGAAATCCAAATGTTCCCAAGGAAGCAAAGGTTATTGACATCAGAGGATGTCAAAAATTGTGATCAGCTGGCATGACAGCTACGTGTCCTAATCAGCAGGTTCTAAAGAAACGACATGAGATTTCCTGCTGTAACAAGCAACCTCCTCCACTGGCAATGCTCTGACGAGTACCTGGTGCTCTCCAGGCTCAACACACATTTAATTACAGACCTGGCCACACAGCTCTGTTCTTAACTTAAAATCTTGGACTCCTACAAACATACATTACGCAAAATCTGTGAAGCTGTAAACTGGAAATCTACATCTCCTTTGGATAACGTTTCATCTACTTCATTCATTTTCCATTCCAGACTCAAAAAGTGAGGAGGAGCAAAAGGCTGGATGAGTTCCATAGAATACATCTGTTCTTCTGAAGCAGAAAGGTGGTTAAAACAACTCAAGAGATTAGCTACTTTGAGACTGGGACAAGGTCTATAGTTGTTGAAAACTGGTCTGACTACACCCATCTTGGTTTTACACCATGTGACACTGTAAAAAGAGTGATCCAGCGAGGTTCTGAGTCGGCACTGACAACAGGAACTAAGGAAGCCAAGCTTTTGGAAAGACTGATGTCTGTCCTTCTTCAGAATCTTGGAATATCTAACACACATGATAGCGAAAGGCTTCAGGTTTGGATTATCTCCACTGGGTCAGGGCTCAGTGTGATCAGCTGTAGTCGTATGCAGCTAACACAAGAGTAAGTACCATGAGCTGCATAAATTACTAAAACATTTGCAACTTTTGGCGCTTCCAGTGAGCACACTTTCACTTCGGTGCTCGATCAAAACATTTTCTCATTCTGATGCACAAAATCCTTTGCAACTGTAAGTCATCTGTTTGCCATCTTCTACCAGGAAGGCAGTGTCATGCGAGTGACGCAGGTATCTACTCTGTGATCCACGCCAGGACTTTCAGACAGGAGAAGTGCAATACAACTGTGAAATCTGCCTGGCGTATACTGCCAGCCTCTCCTGCTGCTGCCTTCCCTCCATACACATGCCCAATTACTTCTGAGCTTACCCCACAAGGCAGCACAAAGGACCTCTGAGTTGAATTTCTTCTTGTATTTACGAATTTCTGGACTGTCACTCTGCGGGCGGATATTTGTTGGGTTGACGTTGACAACGGAGCCCTTCCTTGCATTTTCTCTCCTGACAGGCTCAGGTTTTGCACTGGATGCTAGAATGGAAGACATGCAATTGTGAAACATGCAAGTGTTTGGCTACATCCTACATTTGACCTGTTTATGGCACAATGAAAGAAACCCCACAGGGGTGAGAGAACACCTCAGGAGCATTATGTAGCCAAAGGAAAAAAACATACATCTGGAAAATTCCTCAGGCA